ATACACTGTTTACTTTCTCTTTACCAATAGGAGAGAGAGGAGGGTGTCAGCTTGCATCCTATGTAACAGGAGTCATTCAAGAAGGGGACCGCCATACTCAACGCCTTCCCTCAAAAAGCCAACAAATCTCCCTAGTTCATTGAGAAATGGTTGCATTCAGGTTTCAGCATTTGCCAGTTGACAAATTAAAATCCCTAAACAATAGAAGTTTTATATTACATGTATTTCTGAGAGTCAGATAAGACCATACTTAAAATACGAGGGCAGAGCAATTGAAGTTATTTGGCAGGCAAGAATGCTATTTTTAATATTATGAGATTGGAAGATTGATGGAGTGTCCTGGAGTTGCAGGTGATAGTTCCAGATGTCAGGAGCTGCAGTGAAGACAACTCTGACAAGGAGAGTGGAAAGAGCAAGCAATTCCATTAGGAGGAGTCCAGACCTTGGGTCCTCTAAGGAAGGTGAGAAATAGGAGAGTTTTGATATAGCACATAGATGAGAGTAGAGGATAGAATACTGAAAAGAAGGGATATTAGTTTAAAACAGATTATAGGATTGTTGGGAAATCAGGTTTTCATACTTTTGAAAAATATATACAGCATTTTTCATAAAGAGGCAGAAGTCACGAGGCTCCTGGATTAGTGGAGCTCCTGCAGAGGCTCCCTGGAGTGATACAACACCTTTCAAAAGATGTAGCAGAGGAGAGGATGATGACAAGAGGTCAGTCTGAGCCAGTTGTAAAACTGCCATTATGGATGGCTTTCGTCTACAAAATATGATGAAGCTTTCTGTGGCCATACCATCCTGAATGCTTCTGATCACCTCTGATTTCGGAAGATATGATGCAGGGCAAAAATATCAAAGAATGCCTCAGGACTACTGTATATCAGTCAGCAGGTGCAAGGCATTCAGGTGCTGAGGGCAAAGAAAAGCAAAAATATTAGCATTGGTATGTATTAGGATAAAGTGGTAAGATCAAAATAAAAAGAACTTATGAGGAGAAATAAATATCCAGAAGTTAAGGCATTATAGCTTGATAAAGAAAGAAAATCAAGCACCAGAATGAGGGTCAATATGATGCCTTTACTTCTTTGGCTGGTTGAGAACAAATTTTTAAGCTTACAACGGTGATAATGTGCCAGGTTATGTAATGGAAAATAAAACATTTTGAAAGAGGATTGAGTTGACATTTCTTATTTATTTTTTATTTTTTTATTTTTTGACAGGCAGAGTGGACAGTGAGAGAGAGAGACAGGGAGAAAGGTCTTCCTTTGCTGTTGGTTCACCCTCCAATGGCTGCTGCCGCCAGCGCGCTGTGGCGGGTGCACCGTGCTGATCCGATGGCAGGAGCCAGGTACTTATCCTGGTCTCCCATGGGGTGCAGGGCCCAAGCACTTGGGCCATCCTCCACTGCACTCCCTGGCCACAGCAGAGAGCTGGCCTGGAAGAGGGGCAACCGGGACAGAATCCGGCGCCCCGACCGGGACTAGAACCCGGTGTGCCGGCACCGCAAAGCGGAGGATTAGCCTAGTGAGCTGCAGCGCCGGCTAACATTTCTTATTTTTTAAAGATCTATTTACTATTTGAAAGTAGAGTTATAGAGAGGCAGAGGCAGAGAGAAAGAGAGGAAGCAATCTTCTATTCACTGGTTTACTCCTTAAATGGTTGCAATGGTTGGAGCTGGGCAAATCTGAAGCCAGGAGCCTGGAGCTTCTTCCATATCTGCCACATAGGTGCAGGGAAACAAGTACTTGGACCATATTCCACTGCTTTCCTAGGCACATTAGCAGAGATCTGGATTGGAAGTGGAGAAGCTGGGACTCAAACTGGCACCCAGATGGGACGCCAACACTGCAGGCAGTGGCTTTACCAGCTACGCCACAGCACCAGCTCAGTTGACATTTCAACTCTGAGATGCTGTTCCTGTACAGTAATATCAGTGCTGAAATTGGATCAGGAATAAAGGGATTCATATCTTGACTCTGACACAAAACAGATGTGTTATCAGGGACAAGTCACTCTCTGATCCTCTATTTCCTCATTTGTAAAAAGGAAGGTTATAATTGTGGCAGAGACTTCCCTTGCCAATCAATATCTACTTCCTCTTTCTTCCATACAAATCAAACTCACGATTTTTAGCTGACAGATAAATCTTCTCAAATAAAGACTGCATTGGAAGTGTCACACAGCAGTTCTGAGGAATCTTGTTTACAAGGTGACTGGTGAGTGCCCCAGTCCATTGTCTCTTTTATTCTTTAAGTTTCTTCTGGTCCTGCTGTCTGGAATGCAGATAGGAAGGCAGGAGGTATAGCTGCTCTTTTTATACAAAAAAGGACAGAGCTACACCTGAAGGAAGTTAGGCCGGTGTATTAGAAAGAATCTGATTTCCTCCTTTAGTGAAGTAGAGTCAATACATCAGCCTTCAGGTTTTTACATTTTAGAAAAGATATTTCTATCTTTTTAAACTCTGTTATTAATAGCTTAATCTAACCCTGATAATCACTTACCTCATAGTCTATTAGCATTGTTAAACAAAATATTTGACACAAAACTCTATCAAAATTTTTGCACATAATGGGAGCTATAATAAATTGTGGTTGAGTGAATGAATGCACATTAAGTGAAAACATTTTAATGTGAGTTTAGAGTAATGACAGTAAATGAGCTGGCTGTCAAGGTCTAAATAAAAAAAGTACTTGAACTGGTGAAGGAAGTGGAGCAAAAGGAGAAGAAATAATGAAAGCAAAAGATGAGCTAAGTCCAACATCATCTCCTTTGCCAAGCCTTCTTTGTTTATCTAGAAATAACTATCAACTTTCCCATCTGTGCCTCTAAAACATTTGAATCTCCAAATATGCATCACTGTTCCATTTTTTTAAATAAATGTTTGTTTATTTTCATCTATTTGAAAATGGGAGAGAGTGTGTGTGAGAGAGACAAAGGGAGAGGGATTGGAAAATGGAGAAGAAGAGGGAAAAGGAAATGGACCAATCTTCCGTTTGCTGGTTTACTCTCCAAATGGCTGCAACAGCCAAAGGCAGGAGCCCAGAACTCCATCCAGTGTTCAATGTGGGTGGCAGGGGCCCAAGCATGTGAGCCATTATATGCTGCCTTCCAGGGAAGGCGTTAGCAGGAAACCAGACAGAGTTAGAATAGCCAGGATTAAAACCCATGCACTCCAACAAGGCCACCAGGCATCCAGAACAGATTAATATGCTGTACTACAACACCTGCCCCTACTGTCCCATTTTATAACTCTGAATATGCCAACCATTCTAGAGAGCAATATTGGACACCAATTCTGTACCAGGTATATATACCTCATTGAACCTGTGGGACAGTGAGCTCCTTGAAGGGAGGGGTCCTTCTATCTGTAGTGATTTCTATTATCCAGAACCCGGTAGAATTCCCAAAAGTACCAATTAATTTCCATTTGCAAACAGCTTTTTTTAGTTTTGAAGCTAATTCAACTGCAATATATTGTTAAAGATCTGTTTGGCATGCAGCAAATGCTTAGTAAAAACATTTGACTGATAACTGATTGGGTGGCTATAAATCATTTGTTCCAACAAGAAAACACTAGAGTGAAGGAGGCTATGTTTTTTTTCAATCTGCTTTATTTGTCTGTGATAGCAATGCTGGTGCCTTCTTGTCTTCTATTTCCTTCTACAACCCTCCTGCCATCCAGTCATTAGTTCACAGCTAGTTTGGCTTTTCCGTTTCTATTGACGCTGTCCAAGGCAGTTCACATGACCCTGGCCTTGACCTTCTAGAGCATTCCTCTCAGTTTCTGTTTGTTCTATATACTTTGCAGAATGACCTTTCAGAAAGGAAAATACAGTAATGCTCCATCATACTGAAATGTACTGGATGCTCTCCTTTTATAAACACTCTTGCTAGTATATTCTATAGCTACACTTTCCTTTCTTGCTAAAGGAATCATTATTTTGTGGAGGCCTAATTTGCCAGCAATGTGCTCAGGGAGAGTATGTCTCAATCCTTGACCAGCAGAAAAGAACTATAAATAGTTAAGTCATTAATTTGAGGTTTCCACACAATTTGCCTTTCAGAACTCAATGGCTGGAACTGAGTCCAGGATCAAAAATGTGTCTGGGAAGCATATTCATTATTCTTTGTCCGTCTGCACAGAGGCAAAAGTTGAGGTTTTTCTTATTGGAAAGATGAGCAGAAAGCTAGGCAAAGAGATTTAGGAAACATTAACATCCTCTGCTACCCATGGTAATAACATTTCCATTCACCAGAGATTAGCCTAGGGCTCTGGAACCAGGTTCTGTCAGTAAGACTTGTGGGGAAGTATGATGGGAGTTTCTGGGGAAGATTGACCTCTCTGATGCAAAACAAAGGAAAAGGGAGATGCTTAGTTAGCACCCTCTTCATCTTGTCTTTTGGATATAATGCCTGGAATCTAACTGCCAAAATGCTCTTAGTCATGAAAAACTAGGAGAATTATCAAGAAACCAACAGCAGGATGATTCTGTGCAGATTACATTCATGAGCTTCTCAATCTTCCTTGTATCCCCCCACTTATAGACCTGTTATCTTTGTTCATTACTTCACTGCTTGCTGCTGAAAGCCCATGTTTGATAGACTCCTACTGGCAGAAAAAACCCTAAATCTCTGACACAGTAGGTAAGATTGTTTACAATGTGGCTGTGGCCTATCTTCCATCACATTCTTCCCCAATCTCCTCCTTCTCTTCCCCACACATGCTGAGTTTAGGCCTCACCATTGCCATTCAGAATTTCTTTTTGTTGTACACAATGCTTGGTCACAGATTGACACATGGATTCCTTAATTTATCTGCATGAAAACCTTCTACTGATGCCTTAAGAAATGAATCATTTTTGATTCATCTCTGTGTGCTGGAATTTGATAACCTGCACATACCAGGAGTTTGGCTATGTTAAGTTAAGCAAATAGTGTTTTCATTTATTCACACAATAAGAAATGGAAACATTAGTAGTCGATGGCCAGAATACCTGTTCATGGAAGTCAGAGACCAATGCTCCTTAAGCTTCCAACTCCATCTTTCTTTGGAAGGAATTTAGATAGTGTTATCTCAGGATGACTATTGCATGTCCAGACGCTGAATCTGAATTCCAGACTGGAAGAAACAAAAGGAAAGTCTGTGTAGTTAATTTCTTTTTAAAAAAAAACCTTTTTTTTAAACTTTTATTTAATGAATATAAATTTCCAAAGTACAGCTTATGGATTACAATGGCTTCCCCCCTATAACGTCCCTCCCACCCGCAACCCTCCCCTTTCCCAATCCCTCTCCCCTTCCATTCACATCAAGATTCATGTTCGTTTCTCTTTATATACAGAAGATCAGTTTAGCATACATTAAGTAAAGATTTCAACAGTTTGCTCCCACACAGAAACATAAAGTGAAAAATACTGTTTGAGTACTAGTTATAGCATTAAATCTCAATGTACAGCACATTAAGGACAAAGATCCTACATGAGGAGTAAGTGCACAGTGACTCCTGTTGTTGACTTAACAAATTGACACTCTTGTTTTGTTTATGGCATCAGTAGTCACCCTAGGCTCTTGTCATGAGCTGCGAAGGCTATGGAAGCCCCCTGAGTTCACTGACTCTGATCATTTTTAGACAAGGCCATGGTCAAAGTGGAAGTTCTTTCCTCCCTTCAGAGAAAGGTACCTCCTTCTTTGATGACCCATTCTTTCCACTGGGATCTCACTCGCGGAGATCTTTCATTTAGTTTTTTTTTTTTTTTTCCAGAGTCTCTTGACTTTCCATGCCTGAAATACTCTCTGGGCTTTTCAGTCAGATCTGCATGCCTTAAGGGCTGATTCTGAGGCCAGAGTGCTGTTTAGGATATCTGCCATTCTATGGGTCTGCTGTGTATCTCGCTTCCCATGTTGGATCGTTCTCTCCCTTTTTTATTCTATCAGCTAGTATTTGCAGACATTATTCTTGTTTATGTGATCCCTTTGGTTCTTAGTCCTATCATTATGATCAATTGTGAACAGAAATTGATCACTGGGACTAGTGAGATGGCATTGGTACATGCCACCTTGATGGGATTGAATTGGAATCCCCTGGTACGTTTCTAACTCTACCGTTTGAGGTAAGTCAGCTTGAGCATGTCCCGAATTGCACATCTCTTCCCTCTTATTCCCACTCTTATATTTAACAGCCATCACTTTTCAGTTAAGTTTCAGCACTTAAGAAGAATTGTGTATTGATTACAGTATTCAACCAACAATATTAAGTAGAACAAACAAAAAAATACTAAGAGGGATAACATATTAAGCTGCTCATCAACAGTCAGGGTGAGGGCTGATCACGTCACCATTTCTCATAGTGTTCATTTCACTTTAACAGGTTTCCTTTTTGGTGCTCAGTTAGTTGTCACCTATCAAGGAGAATAAGTGGTATTTGTCCCTTTGGGATTGGCTTATTTCACTCAGCATAATGTTTTCTAAATTCCTAACAGGGATCACTCCCAAAGGGACAAATATCATATGTTCTCCCTGATTGGCGACAACTAACTGAGCACCAAAGGGGAAACTTGTTGAAATGAAATGGACACTATGAGAAACAATGATCAGCTCTTGTCCTGACAGTTGATGTACAATGTAATACTTTATCCATTTTAGTATTTTTTTTGTTCTAGTACCGTTGGTTGAACTCTGTAATTAAGACACAATTATTCTTAGGTGTTTGAATTTTAACTGAAAAATGTGTAGTTAATTTCTATCAGAAATACAGCTTCTTTTACAAAGATGTACCTGGTACACTTCTGTGTACATCTTCAATGACCAGCACATGCAGCCTGAGTACCTAGAAGGTAGAGTATTTTGAGCTGGACACAGCAGTAATTCAATACATTTAAGGTTCTGTAAATAAGTAAGAAGAAAATGGATTTTGTGTAGATAATTAGGATTATCCATTACGCATCTTAATCAAGGCACTAGGCATAAAATTTTCTCAAGGACAATATACTAGTCAGCCCCAGCAGGAAAAGAATGACATATGAAAGGAATATTTAAAGAGAGTGCAAAGAATGGGCTATTTATAAAGGTGTGGGCAGGATATGGACACTAACTAACCCTGATGCATCTAGGGACTACCAACAACAGATTGTAACTGCTATCCCCGGGCCAAAAGGGGCCATAAAATGAGCTGCTAACGAAACTAGTGAGAGCTGAAGTAGCAAGAGCTGTAACTGTGGGTAGAGATTCAGACTCAACCAATTTTCAGTCTGTGACATAGGGAATAAATATCCTGACTGCTCTTATTTCTAGAAGGAGCTAGAAGGAGCATTGGTCTCTGATGACTTCCATGAACGGGTATTCTGGCCATCGACTATTGTGTAAAGAAATGTGAACCATCCATTGGACAAACCCAACAGGGAATCAGAGGACGAACATAGCCCTGTTGACTTGGTCCTTCAGGGTCAATCTCTTGGGGCTCAGTGCAGGGTGGAGACATGCAGAGATGAATTCTATGTGCGAATAGGATAGCCAGGGCAGATGAGAGTCATTTCTGTGGCCCAGCATCTTAGACAGTATGTGGAATATTGCAGGTTCTCCATAACTATTTATAAATTAAGTACTGTTTAAGGGAATTAAGAAGAGGAAAAAGCTCTACCATTGACCTATGAGTTGACTAAGCATTGTAGAGCTTTAAACACAAGTTGGAATGTGAGGTTTGGGTCCAAGTATCTTTGAGGTTGAATATCCATGGATGACTATATGCACAAGGGATATACTAAATAGAATCAGAGATGCTCACACTTCTCTCAGAAACAAATCCTTTCTTTGGGAGGCCCCTTTCAAGGAAAATCATGATCAATAACCTCTAGTGCAGGAATGGCCAAACCCTCCTCATGAGTACAGAGCTGAGTGATACGACATGTCTGCTTTGCCTTCATCTATCTTTGCTAGAAACATTAAGAAATCTTATATTTCATGTTGGTTGCTTCAATGTAAAAGCCAAGCGAATGAATGCTCTTTCATTTTTGAACAATTTGGTAATCTCAGTTACCAATATGGTACTTGTAACAGTTTCTTTGAGTAGCTGTTTGAGATGCAATGGTTAGCACAGGGACAAAAATTTTAGGTCCTCTTCCATACAATATCAGGGACTCCCATGAATTACTACAGATTTTTCAAGGGACCTACATAGTTGTTAAGATATTTCTTTTGTAGGGCAAGAGCTGATCAAGTCACTGTTTCTCACAGTGTCCATTTCACTTCAACAAGTTTCCCCTTTGATGCTCAGTTAGTTGTCGCCAATCAGGGAGAACATATGATATTTGTCCCTTTGGGACTGGCTTAATTCACTCAGCATGATGTTTTCCAAATTCCTCCATCTTGTTGCAAATGACTGGGTTTCGTTGTTTAAACCAGTTTGGTTAAAATGAGGCTTTGATGATTTCTCTGCATTGTGGCAGCAAAGGCCGGAATTTTAGGTGGTAAAAATAGAGGGGATAAAGAGAGCTATTCTCTCTGAGTTGACAACTAGCAGAGACACAAGAGTAACTAACAGGACACAAGTTGTATGGGCACTGATGAATTTGTTCACTACAGGTTATGAAGCAGAGGTAGATATGAAATCATTTTTACTAAAATATTCCTCTCCTAGATCTTAACAGGGTGAACAGATGTTCCTGGTGGAATCTAAAGAGGTTACGAGTATGGGAACTACTGATTTTGATTCAGTGTAGACCTCTGAGATACATTTTCTTGGCTAAGATATCAAAGACTTTACTGCATATTCATTTTCTGTACTATGAGAAAAAGAGATACACACCTGAGTAGATTTCTGGAACTTTAGAATAGGCATAGTTGTTTGAATTCTGTCTTAGAATTTTGAGTTGGCTCTTGGAAATTGATCATGGGTAATTTAATTAATAAATAAATAAATTAATTAATTTTTGACATGCAGAGTTAGACAGTGAGAGGGAGAGAGACAGAGAGAAAGGTCTTCCTTTTCCATTGGTTCACCCCGCAAATGGCCGCTGTGGCCGGTGCACCGCACTGATCCGAAGCCAGGAGCCAGGTGCTTCCTCCTGGTCTCCCATGCAGGTGCAGGCCCAAGCACTTGGGCCATCCTCCACTGCCTTCCCAGGCCATAGCAGAGAGCTGGACTGGAAGAGGAGCAACCGGGACAGAATCCGGCGCCTCAGCTGGAACTAGAACCTGGTGTGCTGGCGCCACAGGTGGAGGGTTAGCCAAGTGAGCCGCAACGCTGGCCAATCATGGGTAATTAAGAAGTGTTGTGGCTTCTTATCTTTCACAACTGTGGTTACAGTTCAGTCTGTGTGTGGGAACCTGAGAGGCACTCAGCCTTCATGGCTAGAAGGGAAGAAGATTCGTTCCCAAAAGTGTATTTGAGTGAATTACTCTTTATCAAAGAAAGCTCTTGTTTGTGAGACTTTTCCAGTATGAAACATACTAAATGTGCCATATAAAACTCACAAAACACAGTTGTAAACACTTAATACAGACTTTTACACATGCACAATGCAATTTCTCTTACAAATACAAATCTTATTCTTGTTATTCTGAAATTGCTGCTATAAAATGTTTATTTAAACTGATGTGTTGTGTTGATATTTTGTCCATATATAACTATTTATGAAACAGTAGAATGGTTCTAAATCTTTATAACAATGGTTTTAAATTTCTTGAATCATAAAATTACAAAATGCCCCAGAGGGCTTATTTTTTAAATGTATGTAGCTCATCATGAGTAACCAGAAACTGTCCATTAGATTTTACCAATGACTGTTAACAGTTCCTCTGAAGTTGTCTATAAAACATGAGAACACATGGAATGTGTTCAGGTTTTCAAAGAAGAAATTATTTTCTTACAATTAAATATTGAGATATAGAATGATTACATACTAGTTCTTAGTATGATTAATCAGGATTTTTGACAAAAATAAAATTTCATTGACCAAGTTCTAGGATAAAAGAAAGGCTTTCACTTGTATACTATAATGCTGGTTTGTATCTTCCTTTAAAATTTATATGTAGAAAATGGATACATTTTGGGACCTTGACAAATGGGGCAAAATTCAAGATAGAAGAGTCTACATAATGAAGTGTTGTGCTTTCAACATAAAGACATG